TCGGGGGGGGGGAAGGAGAGAGGATGAGATCAGGGTCACCAGCAAGGTTCTGTGAAGGAGGGGTTGGAGCTGGTGCTGTATCTGAGGTGTTCACTGTTTGTGCACAAAGTTGCTAAATTTATTCCAGGTACTTATTTTAACTTTGCCCATGCAGCAGGAAAAAGAGCTGCTATGGAGGGGGTGGAAATCTGGGAAGTACTAATGTGTGTTGAAGTTCATAAAACATTGTCCCATAGAGGCAATGTAAAGTGGGATAAGTGGTTGATAAGTGTGCAGTGCAGCCTTGCTGAAGTTATCCCCAGAGGCTCTCCCCATAAAACAATTTAGAAGTGGAATCTGCCACTTTGAATTGGGGTCAAGGCAGAGTTTGTTCTGCAGACCATCTGTAGAATTGCCCAGAGTGGTATGTTAACTTCCTTAGAGACAAATGCTGAGCAACAGGAATGTGTTGTCTTGAGAACTGTTCTGGTAGTATCCACGTTTCAGGGTACTGACATTTAATATTTTACCTCCTGTCCTGCAGATGAACTTGCTGGGTGAGAAAGAGGAAAAGGAATAATTGAGATTTTAGTACTGCATAATATTCAGTCATTCAAAAAATGGGTTAATTTTACATTTTTGAGAATGTGAATTTGATGTTCTGAGATGAATGGATCTTATTGGTGCTAATGTTTTTCTCTTCCTTTCTGTCTTCCCTTTGCCTCTTTGTAGACCAGGACTCTTTCTCATACATTGCCCAGAAGTGGAAACCCTGGCTATATCACTGGAGCACCACTGCTGATTGCAAACAGTGGTGCCATGCAGCATGTATCCTTTTTCTGCTATCAGGTTTTATTCATCACTGGGTTTATTGACTTCTGGTACTCTGCATCCATCAGCAGGCTTATTTGTCACAACTGAATTATAGTCCTGTGATAAGGATAAATGTGGGGTGAGAGGATTGTTAAATACAGGTTAGGTATCCTGTATTGTCTGTTCATGTTTTTGTTTGGCTTCTTGATATGCAGTCTGTTAGATGAACATTTTACAGAGTGAAGGTGATGGAAGTTGCTCACAGTTCCTCAGACACACAGCACAGTTTGCAAGGAATATGAGGACAGGCTGCAAGCTCAGGTAACAGTACACTGCAGTCACTCTTCCTGACACATTTGGAAGGTGTGGACTCACTTAGCACGTTTTTCCAAAGTCTCTCATCCACTGCTGTGGAGCCAGGTCCTTCCCTGAGGTCACCAATGAATCTCTGCAGATCTTTCATACGCTCCTGAAATGACTTAAATATCAGAGATGGTGGACCTTTACAACAAACTGCACATTGTGAAGGTCTTGTGGGATGTTTTGAGGCTGTAGTCTGGCAACGTGTCTTGGGCGAGAGTAAAGTTTGTATTTGATGAGTGAATTATGATGAAGCCTTAAAAAGTGATTGTTTTGATGAATGATGATTTGGGTCATTCTTCTGTTGGTGGCAGGGCAGGTATATGACCACTGATGCGAAAGATGGCTAAAGAGCTGTCAATTTTCCTTACCATGCATTATCCTACCCATGTTCTTCTCCTTTCTCATTGTAGAGAGGATTGAAACTTCATCCATTTAATACTAATACTTCCATAGTGATTCTGTTGCCTCATAACAAGAGTGGAAGGAATACTCATTATGAAGGAAGTGTGTTGATAGCGGGTTTTTTCTGCCCTGGAAATCACTTTGTCAAAGCTGTTATTTTCTCATTTCTAGCCTGTCCCCAATACTGGAAGAAAGTAACTGTAGTTATATCCAGCAGAAGTTATACAGGGCTCTGCAGGGGATGGACAGAGCAGAGGACCTTGCTGTAATTGGCAGTGCTCATTCAACCCAGGCAGAAGAGTGGACAGCCATTCTGATTCGGGACTGCAGTGTGCAGGTAGTATGGATGCAAAAAGACCAGCTGTGAATATTTTTCCTTTCATGTCTTTGTGTTGCCTTGGAGAAGCGCAGGCATGGGAAAAAAAGAACCAGCCTGTTCATCTGGGTTTACTTTCTTTGTGTGATGATCCACTGATTCTCAGGAGTCTTAATGCCTATAAGCAGTCATTTGTATTATTAGGATACTTACTAAAAAAACCCTGATAAACTGAGAGATTTAATATCTCTTTAATCCTGTTCCTGCTATTTAAATGGGCAAAAAGAGTTTAATACTGAATCCAGCGTTGTATTACCTAGGCTTCTGATAGCCTTCTAGAACTAATACTACCTGGTTTTGTCCTATTAATTTAATGCTTTTATTATTATCATCATTTCTGATTTCCCAGTTTCAAGGGATATTTCTATATTACCTAAAAAGGGTAAAAGTTTGCAATCCAAGTAGTTATGGAGGAGGGAAATTCTATTTTAATCTGTCGGGAGATGTCCTAATAGAATACAAAATCTAAGTTGTAGAGCTGAGACAAATTCTGTTTGGAAAGGAGATGACAATGAGATGGATATAGCTCTAAAATGTGTGGTTGACCTGACCAGAAGTTATGGAAGTTAGTGTTGAAGTGACTGATTCCTGGTCTGTCACCATTACTATCCAAAATAATAGACTTTGACCATAATGGTCCTTTTTTACCTTTAAAATGCTATATTAAGATGTTTGTTGTATATTTATTTTCAGGCTGTGAATTGCACTTCCTGTTGCATGGTTCCTGTGACCCTGGAGATACAGATATTGTGGACTAAGGTGGGCCTCCTGTCCAACCCACAAGCTCAAATCCTGGGTGCACGGTACTTTTATCAGTGTCGCCCCCTGAAGGTATGGAATTTAAAACCCCTCCCTCACACACAGAGATAATTTTGAGTGGGATTCATAGGTTGTTTAAGAACCAAGGAATCAAATGGCTTTGCTATTACTGAGCTGGGATTTACTGAACTTTAGCAGTGGTCTGGCTGCAATTGCAAGAGTTCATATTTAACAGCTCCATAGAAGAAGGTGGTCTTCGCAGTACTGTCCTCAATCAATTGTACAACTGGAAAAGGTACCATCTTTCCAGCCCCAAACCACCTTCTGCCACTTAGGGACTCAAACTTTAAACTTTTAATTATGCTCAGTATAAAGTTGTAATTACAAACATTCAATAACTACATGTTTAGTTGTCTCTTAAAGCCATGATATGGAATTCGAGTTGATTTATATTTCATAGACTCCACTGCATGCTGATAATATGTGCCAGAAGATACTTCTATTCCTTTGGGTGTTCTGAAATTACCAACAAGTAGCTGAGGAAGAGGCTAATGCTTATGGCAGCAGGTGTGAAGAATTAGGGGGAAAGGTTCTAAGCCAGAAAGCAGGTTTCTAAGAGATTACATGATGGAAACATTCCAGGTCAGGTTTGACGGGGTTCTGAGCAACCTGATCTAGTTGAAGATGTCCCAGCTTATTGCAGGGGGCTTGGACTAGATGACCTTTAAAGGTCTCTTCTGACCCAAACTGTTCTATGATGTCATCAGGAAGATGGAGCTAACAGGTCCAAAGAGGAGATTAGTCTTTTTAAAGTGTCTATCAGTGGATCCTGTTTTAGTGCAAGGCTGGATTCCTGACCTCAAAAAGGCTTTTGGGCAGCACATGTATTTCAAGGCTTATACTTCTCTGCAAGGTCTTTAGGGAGAGCAGCTGGTGTCTGCCCATGGTATTCTCATGGCAGTGAGAATGACACAGCAAGTGTCTGTCTGATCTTTTGTTACTCTTTGAACTTCAGACTTAGACTAAATGAGATTTTTACACTGCTTGTTTGGATGTGTCTCATGGTACCTCTTCAGCCTCCCGTCTTGCAACATAGGAAAAGAACATGATAGGAAAATGTTCACCTTGTATAACACATTTTCCTGAGGCAAGCGGATACCCCAGCCCCACAAAGATATTTTCTAAATTTGAGCTGTTATGCGGCTCTGCTAACATAACTTCTGTCCAAGGAGGGAGACTTGCATTCGTAGAAAAAGCACAGGGCGCATATCCCTCAGTCAGGAACTATGAGATTCGGGTATCATCTGCTTGAACAACTGATGCTGATTACTTTAGAGCTGTATAGGTATATTGCAAAGCAAATTATAAGAAAGCAAGTTTCTAGCAGCAAGAAAAATCACACCATTAAAATAGTACCGACTGCATCAGTGGCCATCCACAAATGAGGGCTGCTAGTAGAGACATTTTGGCAAAGGTACCTGTTGGTACTGTACCCAGCAGCTAAGAATTGCAGCCATTTGTAAGCATACAAGTGAGATCGCCAATGCCTGTGATATATTGCTTTACTTTTAAATTATGTCACTTCCTAGTTTTAGCCTACAGATTCTCTATCTGGAGAGAATCTGTAGATTCTTTAGAGAAAACCATTTTCCTTTAGACACAGTATCATTTGAGAGTGACAGACCACACAACACAGAACCCAGGAAAGACATCCCATTCTCTACACCCATCCACAATATCTGGTCACAGTTGTATTTGGATTTCCTGAAAAGACAAGACAGTCTTAAATGACGCAGAGCTATACAGGAGCATGCTGGAAAGTGCTTGTGGCTGCCTTCACCCAGCTGTTGCATATGGGCTTTTGTTCCCACTAATCTCTCTGATTTTAAGGCAGACTTTGAAGGTCCAGACACAAAGCTAGAATCGTTTTGAGGCTTCTAGTTGACTAAGGCAATTTTGCCTACTTTTGTTTACTCATTGATAGCAGAACTTACACCCATCAGCAGCGAAGGGGAAATTCTACTTGTAACTGCTAAGCAGTGGTGATTTGTGACTGAGGAATGATCCGGCATGGTGTTGTGGTTTCAGCTGAATTTACCAAAACCAGACTGACAGAAGGCCCTTTCCTCCCCCCAGAAGAGAGGAGAGGGAGAGATAAGGAGAGTTTAGAATGAACTAAACTACTTAAATGAAGAAATAATATTAAAAAAACAAACAAAATAACCCCCAGAAAAAGAATTAAGTAGATACAATATATACAAAACCGTATCAAGCTCCCAGGATGACAGTCATGTCACCAGCAGGCAGTGGGCAAGTGCCAGACTGGACTCAGCGAGGGATGGGAACTGTGTTCCAGCTTTGGAGTCAGGAACACACGGATCGGGATCAAAGGCAGATGAACAGGCAGAGTCCTCTTCGGACGGTGGCTATCGCAGGAAGAACCTTGACCCTTTGGTCCCTCAGCTTTTATACTGGGCTTGGGGCAGATGGGATGGAATACCCCAGTTGGTCAGGTTTGGGTCGCCTCTCCTGTCCACTCCTCCCCACGGATGTGACCCCTCTGTTTTTCCATTTCCGACCCTCTAAGGGGCAAATGAGGAAATTGGCTGACCTTGGTTGTTATAAGCAAGGGTGCCTCTGCACACCATTCGTTGGCATGTAGCATAAACATTGGTCTTATAATTCTGAGAGCAGTTTTCTGCACAATAATGCTGTTAATTTCAGAGAGTTAGAAGAGGCCTAGCTAAAATGTAAAATTACAGAACAGAAAATTGGTTCGGTTTTACTTCAAACCGGGACACATGGGGAGCAAGAGGGCCCAGCTGCAAGAAGGGGTTAACTGGCTGGCTAGGACCAGGAATGCCAGGGACAGGCTCCTCCTCAACGTTGTCTTATAGCAGTCCTGGAGCTCATGGGCTACCTTTGGGCAGCAGAGCTGGGCTGGGGGACAGACTCAGTGCCAGCCGACGTGTCCCATGCTGAGGCTCTCAGGATTGGTGCTGGTGCAGGTGTATATAAGGCATCTGCTCATGATGCAGAACCATGTAGAACCTACTCCATGTAGAACCATATATGGGGGTCGGACTTTGCCCGATGCATTACTCATTACATTTTTATGTTTAAGCACAAAAGTATTTTAAATTTGCCTTGAGGTACCGCAACAGTTCCTCAACAGGAGTCTCAGTATTTGAATTCTGTCTTGGAGCTTTTTGAATGCTTCCTACACAACATTGCATGAACCTTCCAGATTGTTTTCAGGGAAGCAAATGAGGTGGTGATTTCTCAGATTGGCTTAAACCAGTGCAAGTACAGAGGTATGCTGCCAGTAGGTTCCCTCTCTTCAGGTTAGCATGTGGAGCCAGGACCAGTGAGGTTTTTCTTCTGGCAGCAGCATGCTCTTAAATCAGCCCACAAAACTCCATGCAGCTCAAGGAGTGAGTGCATTAGTTGTCTTACAGCATTCTGTTGAAACAGAAAGGAACTGAGGTCTTAGAAGTTCAGTCCCCTGTTCCATCTTTACCAGCTGACCTCCTAGTCTGTCTCCTTTCTGAAACAATATCCTAAACCGTGAGAAATAAATTCATTGTTGTGTTGGCTCCCTGCTTTATTGGTATTTTATTGAAAGGCTCAAATTTTCTAGCGGTGCTCTCTGTTTCTGGTAGCAGTCACCTGTTCAAAGGGCCAGGTAATTTTACCTTACATAAAACATATAATTTTATAAAAAACAAAGCTAGCTTTGCTTCTGTTCCCATTACCAACTAGCTCTTATGTCTCTTCTCTGAATAGAAGGCTTACTTTAGCAGAGCCTGAGTCACTGCTTCCTTTCTGGAGATCTGTAACGTACAATGCACAGTAGCTACCGATCTTTCCTGAGACCTGTGCCCTTGATTTACCTGCTAGGTATTAATTTGGGGAAAGAGGAGTTACTCCATTAAAAAATATATCTGGAACACTTCGCTCCTACTGTCTAAAGACAGCTTGCTTGCCAGTTATCTACAGCAGGTCTCCGTTAGTAAATTAAGGAGAGATATATGTTTTGCGTTAAGCTTGCTGAACTTCTTGTGCTTTCCTTCTCATTACAGTTCCCCAGCACAAGCATGGTACCTTTGACAACTGGCCTGACCTTCACTGACATGACGGAATGGCCAGAACCTCCACGAGGCCAGCCCCAAATACACTGGAAACTCCCATTTGACATTTTTTTCCCGTTCAAGGTGGCACTGAATTTGGAAAGAAGTTATAGAGATGATCTCGCTGGCTATTTCTTTTTTATTCTAATAATCTCTAGTATTCTCTGCTTTTGAAAAGTCCTATAGACAGTGCCTGTACTTAAAGTTCAGCAGGTGAATTGATACATTCAGAATATGATCTAAATCATAGACTTTTCTCCTCAGGTTCCCATACTGTGCTTGTGATATCTACGTACCTTTTGATCTAGGATTAAGCCACATGACGTAGCTTCTGTCCTGTGTTCTTTAATGCCCCTATTCTCTGTGCATCATCTGCAAACCTTGCTGCAGTAAAACACTTGAGAGATGGAGGGATCACGAGTCATTGCATTAATGAGGAACAAGGAGGAGGATGTTAAAATGAACACTCCATGTTCCCAGAAACCAAAAGTGCTTTCTAAACCAAGGACTATGGAGCAGCAAAGTTCAGTCCAAGCATTTTGGAGCTGCGTTCAGTCATCTTCCTGTTGGAGAAGCACCTGATTTTTCTACATGCAACTAACTGAAATTTGAAATACAGGAGCATTCCAGGCGACCTGAATTATTATTTTATGAGTAGACATGTTTGCCAGTCACCTTTAACATGTCCTTGCTACATGACAACCATGCCCCTGTGACAGTTTTTGACTCTGATTTTTCTATGCCTTTTCAAATACTGATACTCAATTGAAATGTGTTTTAATATCTGTTTACATTAGCAAGTGTTACACAAAGCAATTTGAATGTCCCATCCTCTGAAATATAATTTCAGTTGTTTCTCAAGACAGCCTCCTCCTTGATCTTTTTTTTTTTTATTTCTTGAAGGAACAGGCCCAAATATGTTTTTTTCCTAGAAACATTCTCTTGTGGCTCCAGATAGGAACTAGACTGATAACGATAGCCACTGAAATTCTAGGCAGCACATAAAAGAGAGTTGTGAACAGTCCTAAAGAAAAAAAAAAAATCAATTATTTTAGGAAGAATTTGTAGATGTATTATAAAACTGAAGCTTACTGCACTACCTTACCTCTGGCTCAGTCTCTGGGACCAGAATGTAAGCTTAGTATTTGAAGTTGGAGGTGATCTCCTGATTATGTGGCCTGCCCCAGTACATCACACAGGTTAAGGAAATCTGCTCAATCATTCCATGAAGTTGTTGGATGACAGCCTATTTTTTATAGCCAAGGATTTAATAATAAATAATTAATAAATAATATCTTGAATTCTGATGATGATGGAAAAATCTGCCCCGTTAAAGTCAAGTACTCCAGTAGAATCAATAATGGGCAAGAAAACCAAAGAAATCTTGCTTACCTTTAATAAAATGTATGTGTTGCTTTTGTATGAATACTGTATATAGCAACTTTATTGCTCTTCCTCATTACAAACTTAAACAGAAGAGTGCAAAAATAAACTGAAAATCTTGTAATTAGTCAAGATATCAAAGGAGAGAACCTTAATAAACCAAAACCACACCCTATCTAAAACATGCAGGTTATGAAGTAACTTCACATATTTAACTTTCTGATTGTTTGCATGGTTTATAAGCTTGGAAAGAATTCTGTGCAAGTATCTGCTGCTTCCATTGAAAGTCCATGAAAGCCATGTGCGTGTTCCAGCGTTACCTACAGCTGGTGGTGCCAGTACAGCAACAAGCTGTGGTTTTAGATAGATGTGGCTTCTTAGCTGTGTCTGTAGTATCTTTGCAAGTCTTTTAGCAAAACACATCTGCAGCGTGTCACACACATTCTCTCATGTTCCTAGTTTGTGGAATCCAGGAAATTAATTTAGAGGTGACGGTTACTGAATTGAACAAATGGCTAGTTGGAGAAACTTGCCAGATGTCACACTGCCAAGTGTGTCAGGATACGGCCTGAATGAAAAGGAGCTGGCAAATCTGTTTTCCGCATTGTTGAAATAATTCAATCAGGTGACTATAGAGACTCTTTTTATTCTATGAGCTGCATGGAAATGCTGTAGGAATGCATCAGCTTACTATTGTAATCCTCTGTCATATCCCTGCCCTCCACTGTGTCATATTTTCTAGCACAAGTTTGGCTTCTGACATTTCCTCATTGCAGGAAACAGCTGGAGGGAGCCTTGTCCATAGCCTGGTCTAAGGCATGTCCAGTTCTAGCTGTGCTGAACCACATGGATGGGGGTTAAGAGTCTGTAGTTTCCTGTGATGCTTTATTTCAGTGTCTACTTTGTCATGTTTTTCTGTACTGTCTGAACTTAAATGGCCTCTGTTGCAATTGAGTACCAGGCAACAGTATGACAATGTCACACACAAGGCAGATTTCTGTCAGATACCCAGAATGGGGTGTTCATACTCCATGTTAAAGGCTGAGACGATGCTGCATCATTTCTCTGCTGCCAGCATTCCACCTGGAACCATCTTTCCTATGTGTCTCATTTTGATGCAGTAAGTCTGTTTTTACACTGTCTGAATGACAGATGCAATTTTGGATGACAAGGTAGAAGTTACAAAAAGTTTAATAAAGTCCACTGTTAGTAGCTATGTGAATTGAGCTGCCTACCCAGCTCTTAAGATCTCTCCGTGGGGTCGTACGGTTGTTGTGCTGGAAGTGAACAGCACCGACTTGTTCATTCCCACTGTCTGAGTGAGCACCGCTTTGGGGTGCCATTTCTTGCTTTTCATCGATTCCATCCCCCCAGCAAAGAGAAATAGCAAAAATGTGAATTTCTGAAATGAAATCTTCTGAAATAATTCTCCCCTTCTATAATGTAAGTATACCAAATGCAAAGGAAAAGTTAAAGAAGACATCTTAAAAATTTCTATAAGCTCCTTAGTGCACTTCCAATTTTCTGCAGGCAGTAAGTACGTGAGCAGTTGTTAAAGTTGCCATATCTTAGCCACTGTTCACCACTGCAGGGTTTGTAGCAAAAGGATAGGGGTCTTACACACTTGCTGCCTTCATATGGCTCAGCCTTTCCAGTCTGTCGTGGTAGGCCCGTGTACCTTAAGAACACACAGATGCGATTCTGCTGCACACCCCCAGCCCCCTCAGGGGCCATGCCGGGATGCCCCCCAACGGGTACGAAGAAATGCACCTTCATGGGCTCCCGGCTGCAGAGCCGCCGAGGAAGGGGGGGAGAGCGGACGGGATACTAGCCCGCAGCTGCTGCTCGTTACAACAGGCCGCCGGCCGGCGCCGCAGCTCGAAAAGAGCCGCCGCTGTCCGAGCTGGTGTCCCGCCATCGCCTGGTTGTACCGGAATGCGCCTTCTGCCGCCGCCGCCCTGTGGGGCAGCAGCCCCGGCAGGAGTCGGGCCCCGGCAGGCCCCCGCTACCGCCGCCGCCACTCCTGCCACAGACCGGCCGCTAGAGCGCGGGCCGGGCCCACGTGCGCGGCGGTGCCGGAAGCGACGCAGCGGCGCCGGGCGGGTGAGTGCTGGGGGCGGTGGAGGCTGCGGGAGCTACCGCTTCGGGAGGTCGCGGAGCCGGGCTGGGCCGTGCTGTCGCGCCTCCCCGTAGCCGAGCGCGGCGGTCCCGTGGGCGGGCCGCCGTGCGGCCGGGCCGTGCCTCGGCCAAACGCGAGTGCGGCCGCTGCCGGTTCTCCTCCCGCGGCTGGAGGGGTGGGAGCGGCCGCTGCCCGAGGAACGCTGGCTCTGTGCGGAGAAGCCGGAGTGACCGAAGCCCTAAACCCGCTGCAGTGCTGCCCGCCCCGGGATGCAACCCTCCGCCCCGCAGTCCCCCCCCACCCCTTCCCCCAGCCCCGCCAACCTGGTGCGGGGGTTCCTGGAGGCCGCGGAGGAATGAAACCGGTCTGGGCCCCGTCAGCAGCGGGCTGTTCGGTACGAGCTGCGCCGGCCTCGTTCTCTGGGGATCTTGTGGGAGCAGAGCTGCTCCCTCTGGAGATCTCTCGTTCCTTGCTCGTCTCTCGTGTCTACTCACAGGATTTCTCCATGCCCGAAGGAAATAAACCCTCTTGACACTTGTGTGACTTATAAAAGTTATTACCTGAGTTTTGACCTAGCTCTAGGTGATAAGCCTGTGTTGTTCACTTAGTGTTTCTTCACAGGAGATACCACAGGATCAGATTATAGGTTTTTTTAAGAAACCCAATGGCACTCTGAAAGAAGTAATAAACCTGTAGATAAAGGAGACTTTATGAGCAAACCTTACACAGTTTTCCAAAAGCCTTTGGCAAGTGTCTTTGTACTATGAAGTCAAGAACAGTTTTATTTTCTTAAACAAAAAATAACTAACATGCTTCCATAAATGCTTATACCTGTGCTGACTCTGTACCCTAAAAAACGATGAATCCTTGGAAGTGTTCACATTTTTTCTCTTTAGATTTGCTCTTGATGACACTGAAAAGCAATTTATAACTAAAATATAAAAAATAGAGTTTTCTTTTTTCCTGCTCTATAGTGAAGTATTTATATTTAATAATGTTAGAAAGTGTGTCAGTTAATAATTTTTGTTGTGTTAACTGCTTTACTGATTTATTTGCTTGTTTGTTGTACTGCCTTCCTCTTCTTAGTTACTCTCTGCCAGGGCTGTTACAAGAAGTGTATTCAATAGCAGAGCCAGCGTCTTTCAGGTGTCGTTTCAGTCATTTTTCAGCTGCTGTTGCTGGATGTTGCATTAGTAGGAATATGAAAGCAATGATATTTTTATGTTTTTCTGCAGCGTCCAGGGAAGGAAACATCTGAGAGTCAGTGTGGGTGAATACCCTGAAAAGTCAGTTCAAGTGTAGCAAAAATAGAATCGTAGAAATTACAAGGTAAGGAATGAAGTGCAGAATAAAAGATTGTATCATGCCAGTATATAAATCCTTGCTTCGTCCAAACTTGAGTACTCTGTATGGACTCTTCCTTGGGTAATATGCTGTAGTCTGTTTAGGATAATTGGGGAAGTGGAGGAAAAGCAATGGAAATGACTGTGTATATGAAAACAGCCTTGATATAAGGAGACCAAGAGCATCCCAGTCTGATGCATTGGTGGCAGTGTCTTCTAAGGAGGAGTTGCTGTGCTTCTCTCTTGCAGGCAATTGTACAGACTGGGGGTCAGTTGTTCTCTGACCAGGATATCGCCATGATCAAGCTGTTTTTTGGAGGGAGGTGGGAACTACAGTTTTGAGCAGGAGGGGTGGCAAAACTGGTGCACTTCTGGTGCAAGAATTGTGTAGCAACAACTTGAGCATTGCAGCAGAGGGAGGAATGAGGGTGGGTGCATTGCAGAGCTTATGTGCACTATGATGATAAAAAAAAAATTCCACTACTAGTGAACATCTGCAGATAGTTTTCTAACAAAGTGATGACCATAAGGGTATTTGGGTTTTTATGGGGGAGTTGCTTTGTTTTCCCTCTTGTGGAGACAGTGAAAACTTGATGTCAGATAATTTTGATTTGAGTCTTCTACTAATTCTTGAGACATTGAGGTTTTTTCAAGTGTCTTGAACCCTACCCCCACCACTTGCATATTGTTCACTCTTCATGAGCTTTTCTCCATAGTCAGGAGATTTTCTGGCATGGTTTGGCTTTTCTCTTTAGAGAAGATTGTTTCCTGATCCCAGAAGGTGATGTGATAAAGATTAAAAAAACAAACAAACAAAAAACCAGGAAAACCCCACAAAATAAACAGCTCTCTAAACAAACAAAAATATCCCACAAAGCAAACAAAACCCAAATACTGTCTTGTAACAACATGAGAGTGCTGTTGGGATTTGTTTGTATTCTAACAGGAGGACAGGCATGTAACAGTGGTAAAATAGATATAGACAGAAGACAGTATAACTAGTGTCTGAGTTAAACTGAGGAACTACTATGAATTTTTAGTATCTTTGAGGATGAGAAACTGTAGATTTATGGTTTCTACTAATTGTAGTGATAAGAGCGCTTGCAGAGGACACCGAGTTGGGCAGGAGTGTTGATCTGCCCGAGGGTAGGAGGCTCTGCACAGGGAGCTGGACAGGCTGGATCGAAGGGCCGAGACCAGTGGTATGAGGTTCAACAAGGCCAAGTGCCAGGTCCTGCACTTGGGTCACAACAACCTCATGAACGCTACAGGCTTGGGGAAGAGCAGCTTGGAGCTGCCTGGCAGAAAAGGACCTGGGGGTGATGACAACTGAACATGAGCTAGCAGTGTGCCCAGGTGGCCAAGAAGGCCAACAGCATCCTGGCCTGTATCAGGAACAGTGTGGCCAGCAGGACTGGGGCAGTGTTGGTACCCCTTTACTTGGTGCTGGTGAGACCCCACCTTGGGTGCTGGGTCCGGTTTTGGGCCCCCTACTACAGGAAAGACATTGAGGTGCTGGAGCGTGTCCAGAGAAGGGTAACAAAGCTGGTGAGGGGTCTGGAGCACAAGTCTTGTGAGAAGCGGCTGAGGGAGCTGGGGGTGTTCAGCCTGGAGAAAAGGAGGCTGAGGGGACGCCTTCTCGCTCTCCACAACTCCCTGAAAGGAGGGTGCGGAGAGGTGGGGGGTTGGTCTTTTCTCCCGAGGAACAGGCAGTGGAACAAAAGGAAACAGCCTCAAGTTGTGCCAGGGGAGGTTTAGGATGGATATTGGGGAAAAAGTCTTCACCGAAAGGGTTGTCAAGCCTTGGAACAGACTACTCAGAGAAGGGGTGGAGTCGCCATCTCTAGAGCTACTTAAAATTGTAGAGGTGGCACTTAGGGCTGTGGTTTAGAGGTGGGCTTGGTCGCATTAGCCTTACAGTTGGACTCAATGGCCTTAAAGGTTTTTTCCAACCTAAATAATTTTATGAGTCTCTTAATTTAGTAAATGAATGCACGTGCCATATGGCAGATAAGTGAAGAGCGAAGCCAGCACTCTTACCCTCGTGGAGGAGTTTGGGTTATGGTGGAGAAAACAAAGGCGGCGATGGGCCAAAGGAGGTGAAGTGGCTCTCGGAGGTTCGGCTGCAGATCCCTTCCATCTGCTGTCCGCATCAGGCGGGGCAGGGAGGCCGGCTGTGGGTAGGGCTGTCTGGACTAGTCTGGGACTAGACAGAAAACAGCTGCTACTGCCGTAACCTGTCCAGCCCTGGATTTTGTGCTGCAACGTGGAGCAGAGTTACATCATCCGCTGGGGCGGCGGCGGCACGGGGCCGACAGCTGGCCCGCCATGGCGGCGCTGAGGTGGCCGCGCGGCGGGCGGCCGGGATTGGCTGCGGCGGGTCAGCTGGTCCGTG